GGCGCGGGCCGGCGGGCGCGGCGGACGGACGCCGGCGGCCCCGGGAGCAGCGCTCGCTGCGGCTCAGCATCAACGCGCGCGAGCGGCGGCGCATGCACGACCTGAACGACGCGCTGGACGGGCTGCGCGCCGTCATCCCCTACGCGCACAGCCCGTCGGTGCGCAAGCTCTCCAAGATCGCCACGTTGCTGCTCGCCAAGAACTACATCCTCATGCAGGCGCAGGCCCTGGACGAGATGCGGCGCCTGGTGGCCTACCTCAACCAGGGCCAGGGCCTGGCCGCGCCCGTGGCCGCCGCGCCCTTGACGCCCTTCGCCCAGGCCGCCGTGTGCCCCTTCTCGGCGGGCGCTGCGCTGGGCCCCTGCCCGGACAAGTGCGCCGCCTTCTCCGGAACGCCCTCGGCGCTTTGCAAACACTGTAACGAGAAGCCTTGACTGTGCCGGCTCCCCGCCTCCTTCCGCGCGCGCCCTTCATTACGCTTCCCTGATGACTGTCACCCTGCCTCGACAAGAGACGCCCGGATGGACCCTGCCCCTGGGGGGAGGCGGCCTGAGCTCGCTTCCAGCCCGTGCACAGCGAACAGATTGCGGCTGCGGGAAGCGCAAAGCCAGTCCGGGCACGGCATTGTGCCGGAGGGTGGGACGCTGGGATCCAAGCCGGGAACCTGTGGCGCCCTGGGGGCCCTGTCCCAACGTCCCTGGGCTCACGGATAGGGGTGGGGGGACCAGCCGTGTTTCTCCGGGCACTGCCGCTCACCCCCAAAAAGAAGACCTTGGCAGGGTCCCAGGGCGTGGGCGCCGTCCCCAGACAGGCCCATCCGCCTCCAGCTCGGGGCGCGGAGGGCGGAGGCAGAGCCGGGCTCGGCCGTGGTGCTGATCCCACGTGGGGCTCGACCACGGGCCCCAGCCGCATCTGGCGGAGCCGCAGGCCCGCGCTCTGGCCCGCGTGTTCCGGAGCGCGAGTAGCCGCCACCTCCAGCCTCGGCCGGCCCGGAGACCCCAGCGCCCCCAGCGCCCCCGCAGCGACCCGCCGGCTGCGCCCCACCGACTCCGCATCCGCCGTTTGCAAAGGCACTGCTGGACCGCGGGCGCAGGACGGCCCCGGCAAGGAGCTTTTCGGCCTTTTCCAGGTTCGAGTTTGTTCTGTTTGTCTTCTTGCCTGATCGAGGTGCGGGAAGTGGACGCCACCGCCAGCCGCCTGGAGCTCTGCGCGGTTTACCCCTAAATATCCCCCGGATTCCAGCCACTGTCGCGCAGCCCGGAACGGCCCGCGGCGCGTGGAGTTGCACCGAGACCGCTTCGCGCGCCTCTGCCGCAGAGGCTGGCGGAGGAGGGGTCCTCACAGCGCGCACCCCCGTGACCCTGGAGGGTCAGGGAGGGCCCCGGTCTAGCCCCGGTGGCCAGCAAAGCCCCGTCCCCACCAACGCGTGCACGTTTCCGAGGGGGAGGCCGGACTCCGGGTGAGTATGGCGGGCCCCCGCGCCCGACGGTTGCCAGCCGATGGGGGGGATCTGTCTCTTCTATGCTGGGGCGCAGCGCAGAATCCTGCCACCGTCGTCCCCGGACCGAGCCATCCGCGTTTGCGCCCAGCGGCTCCGCTGCGGTGTCGGCCTGATTAGCCCAGTTCCTCGCTGCCCCGCAAAGCGGCCTGTCCACCGCGCTTAACTTTAATTAATACATTTCAAAAGGCCCTTTTGTATTTGCAAAATGAAGTGTGTGATGAAGTCTTCCTCATAAGGACATATGCTTAATACTGGTTTCTGCTGATTTCCATTTTTATTTCTTCAGTGTCTTTTTTCCTAACAGAGTAGTTTATCAGTTTTGCACAAAAAGCTGAGTGCCGCAGACTATTTTTCAAACGCATTTTAGATAAGGCAGGAAAGCTGGAGACTGAAATACCCTTTACTTCTGGGGTCGTTTCAAAGTGACCTTCAGTCAGCTTTGTAAATTGCTTATTGTAATTTGAAACGGGGTTGCTTATTCCGGTTAAAACCAGAGAGTTTAGTACATCCTTTACATTCAGAAGAACGTATGTGATTTCCACTTATTTTACAAAGATAATATTAATTTTAAATTAATTAATATCAAATTAGTGTTCATTTGTGACTGAATTCATCATAATTTCCCATTTCAAATAATTGTGTCAGCTTTGGCCACCTGCGTCTGAACCGGGGCCTCAAGTATCTCTGAGAGGCTCGAACTGGTCTGTATGCAACCGCTTATTAGCAGACAGGTGAAGTCCTAAGAAAAGGGTAAAGGAAAAAAATCTCTCTTCCCCTTTGGGTGAAAACCAATTTTTAAAAAGAACCATTTCACTAATCAAAAATTCTTTCCGTAGCTTAGTTTTTTTTTTAGTTCAAATAACATTTAAACACTTTTTTTAGATTGCAAACTGTTGCTTTACTGTTCTCCAGAATGTCTGCTTGCCTTTCTCTGGGTCGAAGAGTATTTCTGAGGGAAATTAGGCCGCTTGTTCTCAGCAGTGCCCTCTCATAGAGCACTCTGGCCCAGCACAGTGGACGTCCCTTGGCCTCTCTCAAGTTTGCACGGCGAACCTCCCGTTCTGAGACCCCCCACACACAGCCTGTGTGCCCACACCTGGCAAACAGCAAATGCAACCAACGAGGGCGCCTGTTGCAAGCCTGGGGCTCTGGGGAAACATCCGATGGCGGGGGAGGTTCTGGGTCGTGCCCCTGCAGGTGTGTCAGGATTGCTGAGAACCCCGTGGGAGGTGGGAGGAACTTCATCACCACCATGTAAGCCCCAGGAGCCAGTGTTCCTCCAGCGCGGGGGCGGGGATTGCATAGGAAAGAGCTTTGCTTGGAACTCGGGTTTGAACTGACTCTTTGTGGGTGAGGACGTGCAGCCGGGGTGGGGGCAGGGGACTGTGAGGCAGTGTCCCCAGCACCGAGACATTCACACCAACCCTTTGAACCGGCATCCTCCATCCGGGGATGACGCGGCCTTACATAGAATTTTACATGCGCTAGTGGCCACGTTAAAAAAAGTAAATGGAAGCAGGTGAATTAATTTCACTGATAGCTTTTGTTCATCCTATCATCTCCAAAATATTATCATTTAAACATAGAGTTAAAATTTTAAATTATCAGTGAGATGTTTTACTTTTTTGGGTACTAAGTCTTCAAAATCCAGTGTGTATGTTGCACTGGGGGCCTGTGTCAGTTCGGACCTGCCAGGTTCCGTGTGCTCAGGGTGGCGTGGTGGGAAGTGCAGACGGTCTTTCTCCTGAGAGCCGGCTAGGGCTCGGCTGGGGCCCACAGCGAGAAGAGCCGCTGCCTGCTTCCTTCCAAGAGCGGTGGTGGCAACGTCCACTGAGTTCCTGGCTCCACGTGCCCACCCAACCTCACGTTGGCCAACCACACCCCCGCCTGGGGAGCCGCCAGGACGCAGCAGATTACAAAGCGACCCCCCAAAGGCGGCCCAGCGGTGACAACCCTGGTCCTCCTCTCTGCCCACGAGGGGTTTGTCCTGGAGTCAGTGCTTCCTTCCTCCGTCAACCACACGAATGAAGTCTGGGCCCAACAGACGGCAGGCATGTTTCTCGGCACCTTTGGGCGTCCTGATGCCCTGTGGTCGGCGCAACTAAAGCGAGGCAGCCGCTCCGCCTGCCGTTTCCCCTGCACGAAACCTGACTGTTTGGCGAGGGTGTTTCCGCCCACTTGGTGAGGCTCTGTGGCCCCAGCTGTCAGCTGAGTGGTGCCCAAGATACTTCACGGAGATCTTTGTTTTCTCCCAGTCGAGAAATCTGCTCCACCCAAACGGCCGCTCTGGTTTTCGGGAGCGGTGGGCAGAACGAGGCCCCAGCCCGGCTCCCCCCGGAAAGTTCACCGACAGACTCCGGCACCCGCACGCAGCTTCCAGTGGTTTCATTTTGTTGTTAGTTTCATTCCAAAGAAGGAACTTTTCATTTCACTTACGTAGATGTTACTAGAATCACCGGGGAACTCTGTTCTGCCTTACGGTTAAGCTAACAGGCATCGCAGCACAGACGCCCGCTTTGCCGAACACGCGTGTCTGTTTTCCTTGCAGGCTGGACACACTAACTGAAGAGGCTCTCTGTGAAGGACAAATACCGTTTTCCCAAGAGGACGGGAGAAACGCACAAACCGGCGTTCCGACCCCAAAGCCCCCCTGGCGTCCCCCTCAGCTCCCTGAACGACCTCCCGTTGGAAGGACCGGGCAGAGGCTCCTAAGCCCCGGTTAATCCACCGGAGAATGATTATAGCAATTTTATAATGTGAATTTGCTTGTGATATGTTTTTAGTCCTTAATCGCTTTTGGCATCCCATTTGAAGAGATGGAAACACAGGGATTTGCGATGTATTAAATCATTTCTCCAACAATTACCTCTGTGAACGCACAGCCCTGGACCCGGCGTCCCAACGCCCCAGCAAAAGTCTGCTTCGTAAAATCAGAAGTTAAAATGCATTTGCAGGTTTACTCCAAAGGGACAAGACCCACGCTGCCGCGAACACGGGGAGGTTTGTGTAATTAGCAAGCTCACTTTTGATGGAGAGTGTCCCCGACCGTGAGACACGGCCGCTCGGCGCTTTTCCAGGCTGAAGTCCCCGCGGCTCTGCAGCGGCTCCGGGAGGGCAGACGTCAGAATTAGTCCCGAAGTTAACACAAAGCGGGTCACACTGCCGAGGCGTGGGAGGGGTCTCTGAATAAAGCGACATCGCCCTATCTTCTTCGCCTCTGATCTCTTGTGGCTGCGTCTGTGGCCGTCGCGGGGAGCCGGCTCCTGCCATGTCTGAGCCCAGAGCTGACTCCGTGGCTCCAGCAGCCACGGCCTGCGCTTCTGGGAGGCGTAGTGAGAGCCCGGTGTGCCGTGGGTGGGCCTCCGTATCCCACGACTCACAGGGCCACCTGGTGAGCCCACGCCACCTGGGGGCTGCCACTGGGGATGGGAGCGCAAACTTGGCCCAAGGGCTCTTGGGACGGCTCGGCTGTGCGTTAGGGAACGTGGGAGCCTCTTCCCAGCAGCCCCGCTCTGCCCTCCAGCCCCGTTTCGTCTACAGCAACGAGCCCACAGCCAGTCGTCTCCTGGGACCCCCTGATTTGTCCTGACACGAGGCCAATTTCCCTGGTCCGTGTGGAAGGCACTTGCTGTCCTAATGAGGCACTGGCCGGTCTGGATATTTGGCCGCAAACCCCAAGACGGGCCCGGGACCCGCGATGCTCTCTGATGGCCCCAAGGCATCTGACAGAACCCATTTTTGTCGCCATCATCCAAAGCCTGTGCCTGCTTGTGGCATCGGAGCTGCGCCTCTCAGCGCTTCCGGCTTTCTGACCGGGGTTGGCACTGAAGTTACGAAATCCCGGGAACAAACGGTCTCTGCATTTCATGTGCGGGAACAAAACTGTCTTTCATGGCCCTAGCAAACACCTGGGCAGCATGTCCGGGGGTCGCTCCCCGCCTGCGTCTGCCCAGGGGGTTCCCGCAGCCACATGTGACTCAGTCGGAGTCGACCACAGAAGGGACATACCTGAGTGTCCCTCAGTGAGTAGGTGGGAACCAGGACCCCTCCAG